ATCACCAAGCATGATATTTTTTTAAATAAATATTATAAAATCCATATGTCTACCTAGTAAGACTTCTTAATGGTAGATAAAAATGGTACTTCTCTTTTAATAGAGAAGATATAGACTATAATTATAAATTTATTAAAAATATCAATCTATTTTATTTTTAGGTTATAATAAAATTTAATTAATATAATTTAAACTAATAGTATGTTACTTAATTACGAATTAATTAATGCATTATTTAATAAAAAAATATTTAAAATGTTTAGTAGGATTTTGTTAGATTTTTCTCAACAGATTTCTTTATAACTAAAAATATAATTAAAATTAATAATTAAAATTAATAATCAAAATTGATTTATTATTGATTATTATGTTATATTATGCAATTAATGAAATGGACCTAGTAAGACTTCTTAATGGTAGATAAAAATGGTACTTCTCTTTTTGATTATACATATATACTTTCACATTATTGTTTGCAAAAAAGATGCAATTATAAATGTCCAAAATATTATTTTTTCCAAATCATAATTGAGATCAAAATACATACCTAAAGCTGAAATAAAATAAAGAAATTATAGCTTATAAAAAAAATTATAGTTAGCTATAATAAACTTCGATGTTGATAAAACTCGATGCAAAAAGATAAGAAACATCAAAACTTCGATGAAAATTGCACCTATTTTCGGCCATATCTGTTCCTTGGTTTGATCCAGATAAACATGTGAGATCACAAAGCACAAATTGAAGTGAGAAAACAATATACCAAAAGACACCATGAATTCTGGAAAAAAATTGAAGTTACATGAAAGTTATCGAGGTGATCAATTACATCGCTTCCATTCTTTAAACTTTTTATTTCTTATATGAGCTATAACCTCCTTCGATTCCTGTTATCTGGACGGACACACATCACTATGTCAATGTGGTTACCATCAAACATGAAATTTAAATTAACATGATAACACAATTAAATTAAGCAAACAATTAGGCAAACAAATAACTAACACAAAAAAAATCACATATAAGTCACGAATCTCTTTTGATTGTAGCCATTATCCCAGTCTCTGTTAGACCTATATAAAATCACAAGCATGACGTTTAAATTAGAACTATAATTTGTTGAAAAAAGAACAAAAAAGCTATGAAAACGAAAAGCGGATGTGTCGATTATTGAAATGAGAATACCTTTATATAATGAGTTGAAGATGATATTTTGTTTAGCTTGCAACACAATTTACGGTGTTAAAGTTTATTACCTTTTGAAACTAAGTTAAATACTAAGATATTATTGTTAAGTATTTATTATAGAATATATGGTAACNTCTGCTAAATTATATTTAAAACCTTGAAATTCAGTTAATGTGTGTTAATGGAATTTGTTAAATCATTATAAACTGTATGCGTTAAAATCTAAATTCATTATAAACTGTATGTGTTAAAATTAGCCGTGTGTTTTGTGATCTTGCGGATCAAGTTTATTCAAAATATGGTAGATTAGATTTTATTGTTTTAATTATATAGGTTTAAGTTACTAAATGCTGCGATTTTTATGTTATGATTGGTTGTTACTGATATTTTAAATATATGATAATATTTAGATTGCTCAGCTATTTACAATCTACTATATTTGTTTTTTAATTTAACAGCTTACCAAGATTTTAGTTTATTTGAGTAAAGTTTAGTTTTTATTTATTTATTTAATTATATATATATAATTATTGATTTGATTATTCTATGAATAGATTACAACTTTAGTTAAGATTGCACAAACAGAATTTTATGCTAAGAAGGATATTTTTTTTATTTAAGAAAAAAATTTCGACTTACAAAACAAATTTGTTAAATTCGTTATAGTTCGGAATCGGTTGCGATATCATAATCGTAGAAAAAATTTATTCGAAATGCTACAATCGGTATATTCTAAAGAATAAGCATAAATAAAACAAAATATGCAGAGGATTACTCGTAATTATGTATTACTGAACATATACGTCGATTCATCATTTTAATGAGATAGTAATGTTTGTATGTACATTAATTGATATAATCGTATGCACATTTATTTCGTAATATGGATGGAAGGATGTGTTTGATTCAAAACGTACATGACAAATATATATGTGTTATATATCATGCAAATATATAGGCAATGTTATCTCGAAAGCATATATAAGTAAATGAAAAGGGTTATATTAATTAAATGTGTGATTTTTGCTGCATAAATAAAAGAAAAACAGAAAACAGAATTAAATAAAAAGTATTGTTTTAGAATATTCTATCGGGTCAAACCCACTTACATCGGGTAAAACCATTTTAATACAAAGCATAGCTTAAAAAATTATGCAGTGGCATTGTTCTGAAAATATTGTTGAAACAGAAGGGCGCCTGAAAAAAAAAAGGGTCTTCTGTTTTAATAGTATAGATTATCCGTGCTTTGAAAGCAACGCTCAAAATCTAGTTTAAAATATTAAAACAGCATTAAAAACACAATTCTTCTTTCATTTGCTCTCTTCTTCGAGAATAATGGCGTTTGGTTTGATCGGGAGAGTTGTTGGGACAAAGCCGTCGAGATTATCCGCGGCGGCGCGATTGATTCCGTCGCGTTGGACATCATCAGGAGCAGAAGCACAATCAAAAGCTTCAAGAGCGAAACTGAAGACGTTCCAGATCTACCGATGGAATCCAGATTCTCCCGGGAAGCCTGAGCTCCAAGATTACCAGATCGATCTCAAGGACTGTGGGCCCATGGTTCTAGACGCGTTGATCAAGATCAAGAACGAGATGGATCCGTCGCTCACTTTCCGTCGCTCGTGCCGAGAAGGTATCTGCGGTTCGTGCGCGATGAACATCGACGGATGCAACGGCCTCGCTTGTTTGACGAAGATCGAATCGGAATCTTCGGAGACGACGATCACGCCGTTGCCGCATATGTTTGTGATTAAGGATCTGGTGGTGGACATGACGAATTTTTATAATCAGTACAAGAGTATTGAGCCGTGGTTGAAGAGGAAGAGTCCGGCCTCTGTTCCTGGGAAGGAGATTCTGCAGAGTAAGAAGGATAGAGCTAAGCTTGATGGGATGTATGAGTGCATTCTCTGTGCTTGTTGTAGCACCTCTTGCCCTAGCTATTGGTGGAACCCTGAGTCTTATCTTGGCCCTGCTGCTTTGCTCCATGCCAACAGGTTCACAAACTCTTGCTTCTTTTTTTTATAGTGGAGCTTGATTGGTTTAAGGAAATAAGATTTTGAATAAGTTTTGTGAATACTTTTTGTTGGATTTTTTTTGGTTGTTTAACGTCGTTAGATGTAGTTTACCACCGGAGGAAGGTGCTTAGAGCTAATTGTGCTTCTTTAGGAGCTTGTTCAGTTTTGATTATGGTAGATTGATTATGAATGGCTAGCAGGTAGTTTGCGTTAGATCATTTTGTATGGCCATTTAGGCTATATCTGCTCCCTTTTGGTGTAATGTACACTTAGTTTAGCTCGTTGTTTACCTGAAATGGAGGAGAGAGCTTTAAAGGATGGTGCGAAGGAATTATTGTGTTTCTTCGAATGTCTGTAGACAACCTCAATGTAGTTCTTCTTCCTTTAGAGATTCTCAATTTACATTAGTTCATTTTATGTGATTCATATGTTGCTTTATTGTCCTTAGATGTAGTTTAGCTCCGAAGGATGGTGCTAAGGACTCATTGTGCTTTTTTAGGAGTTTGTTCAGTTTTGAGCATTTGCATAAGCTTTTTTTTTCAGTTGAAGCAATACGGTTTGTGAGATTGATTATGTATGGTTAGCTGGTGTTTGCATTAGATCATTTTGTATGTTTATTAGGCTGTTTCTGCCCTTTTTAGTGGTAATATGGTAATAGCTCTTCGTTTAATTAAAATGGAGGAGAGATTTATAAAGGATGGCGCGAAGGAATCATTGTGCTTCTTATCAAGTTATGTACAGACATTTTATGTTCTTTTTGCTCCTTTAGCTGTACTTTAGTTTAACTATTAGTTTAACTGGCATGGGCAAGGAGTTTTTGTGCTTCTTCAAATGCTATGTAGAAAATTCAAAGTCCAACTCTCTGATTGTATCTCTAATTCTGTATCGTTATGTACAGACATTTAGGTTGTTTTTGCTTCGTGCTAAGGGCTCTTTGTTCTTTGTCATTATTGCAAATTCAGTGATCTGTTTGTCTCTATTTTATTAAGTAAAGTTGTGATCTTCAAGGTATTGTAACAAGACACCTCTTTCACATATGCAGGTGGATAAGCGACAGCCGAGATGAGTATACTAAAGAAAGACTTGAAGCCATTAACGACGAGTTCAAGCTCTATCGGTGCCACACAATCTTGAACTGTGCTCGTGCCTGTCCAAAGGGATTAAACCCAGGAAAACAGATCACACACATCAAGCAACTTCAGAAATAAGGTTAACACAACTACTCAAATCATGGAGTGCCCATTGGAATCTCATTCATCATTGGGGTTTTTGAAGCTAATAAATCTGCAAGAAACTCTGATTTTTGGAATAATTCTGGTATTGCTTTTGCAAACTTACAAACATGATAACAGATGAGTTTTGCTTTGCCTTTATATAAACATCGCATTTTTTTTGAGCTTTGCCTTATTAGTGAATAAAAGAAAACAATGATGACCCTTACAATTCTACAAAAGAGGAAAGTGTTTGGTGCCAAAAGAGACGTATGATCAGTTTTGACGGGACAGAGCAAGAAACACGGTAGCATCTGAAATCTGAATTTTGAGATCAGCAATATCAATATCGTGCCCTCCTTCAACTAGACCCCATTTGTCCACCTGCGTGAAACAGTGTTGACAAAGATCAGATGCACAGAAGCAAAAGGTTATGAATGTGATAGATTTTAGTAATCTCTGTAACAAACACTTAAGAACTGAATATTATTGAATCAAGCTTGTAAGTACAACTCGTGGATCAATCTCATAGTGATCGATCACTCATCATCGTTCTCATAATGAAGCAGAGACTCATGTCGTCTTCCACTTTCAACAATACAAGCATGACACGTTGTAAATGTTATAACGGCAAAGCCTCTAAATGAAGTTGAAGTTTTCCCTTCTTTTTTTCTTTATTCAAAGTCTCTTCTTGAATCTGAAGCTTCTTCTCTTTTTCATTTAATTTAAACTTCTGCGGGCAAAGCCACCTCTTCACCATCTTTTATTCTACTCTTAGTCTTTCTCTTCCGATAATACGCCCTCTTGTATCTATTAATACTTCCTCCATTAAGATTCAGCTTACTCTCAAACTGATAATCTGGAAAAGATAATACAAACTCCATATAATCCATCCAAGAATCCTCCAAGGACGATTTTCCCACTCACTTCACCAATAACTCCAACTCTCCTTGTGGACCATAACGAGTATCCACGACCTCCTCTAGCTCTACTGGCACATCACTATCCACAATACAACCCGGAGGAAGTACATTACTCCGCTCATGCTTTCCCAAGCTCTGTTTCAACTCAGAAATGTGAAACACTGGATGTAACGTCCCACTCTTTCCAACACCATATATGGACCATAGAATTTGGCAGCTAATTTCTGACATAAACGACGTCCCATTGTCTTCTGCCTATACGGCTGTAACTTCACATACACCATAGAGCCAACCTCCAACTCCACATCTCTTCGTGACTTATCGGCTTGACTCTTCATAATCTCTTGCGCTCTGAGCAGATGTTTCTTAAGAGAACTCAACATATCATCTCTCTCTTTCAAAGCTTATTCTAACTCGAAGTTTGAAGTAGAACCTGGTTCAAAACGCAATATAGAAGGCGGATCTCGACCATACACAACCTTGAAAGGTGTTGTTTGAAGAGACTTATGATAAGTGGTGTTTTACCATAACTCAACCCATGCCAAATATGAGTGCCAAGTCTGTGGATGAGTCAAAGAGAAACATCGCAAATACGTTTCTAAACATTTTTTAACACCTCTGATTGACCATCTGTTTGTGGATGAAAAGTGGTGCTATATTTCAAAGTTGTACCAGCCAAACGAAAGATCTCCGACCAAAAGAAACTCAGAAAAATTCTGTCTCAATCGGAGACAATGCTCTTAGGAAACATGTGCAACTTCACAACCTCAGCAATAAACTTCTTCGCCACATCCAAAGCCGTAAATAAATGTTTAAGACTCAGAAAATGTGCATATTTACTCAGACGATCAATCACCACCAGTATGACATTAAATCCATTAGAAGTAGGTAAGCCCTCCACAAAATCCATGTTAATATCCTCCCAGATCAGTGTTGGAATTGGCAGAGGTTGAAGTAATCCAGCCGGTGAGAGAGTGGAATACTTATGCGTCTAACATACTTCACAAGTAGCAACATATTTCTGGATCTGCTTGTACATGTCTTCCCAAAAGAGACCGTTGAAATCGTTTTAAGGTCTTTAGTACTCCAGAATGTCCACCAAGTTTGCTATCATGACTTTCCTGCAGTATCAGCCCAATAAACTTGGAATATTTAGGAATTCTAGACGATGCTTTGACCATAACTTGCCATCGTCAACCTGATACTTCCCTGAAACAACCTCTCCCTGCAGAACCTTCTTAATCACCTCTTGTAACTGAAAATCCTCTTTAATTTTCTTAAACAGATCTTCCCACTGTAGTACTGTTGGCACTGTCAAGGATAACAACAACGAAGAAATTGACATACAACAAGATAATCCATCAGCCACCTTATTCTCGTTTCCCGGTTTAAAAAAATTTCAAAATCGAACCCGAGGAGCTTAGTTAACCACTTCTGATACTCTAAATTCACTTCTTTCCGTTCCAGTAAAAACTTCATGCTCCTCTGCTCTGTGTGCACATGAAACTTACAACCCATAAGAAAGTGTTTCCATTTCCGTACTGCTAACACAATGGCCATTAACTCTCTTTCGTAAGCCGGTTTAAGTTGTTCCCTAGAAGTCAAGGCATGACTGAAAAAGGCAATTGGTCTCTTATTATGCATTAACACGGCCCCCAATTCAAACCCTGAAGCATCAGATTCCACCACAAAGACTTGCTGAAAGTCTGGTAAGGCTAACACAGGCGCATTAACCATCACTCTCTTCAAACTTTCAAATGATGTTTGCGCCTCCGGTGACCACCCAAACTGATATTTATTCAACATTTGTGTCAAAGGTCTAGCAATAGTACCATAATCCCTGATAAACCGTGTAATACCCAGTCAACCCCAAAAACCCTCGTAGTTGCTTCACAGTTTTCGGAGTTGGCCACACATTTATTGCCTTTGTTTTAGACGCGTCTGTAGCTACTCCTTTCTCTGATAACATGTGTCCCAAATATTCTACTGTTGTGACGCCAAACGTACATTTCTTTTGGTTAGAAAACAGTTGCTGTTGTTGTAGAACTTGAAACACCTCTCTTAAGTGTGTGATATGGCTAATGACATCAGAACTGTAGAGTAGTATGTCATCAAAAAATACCAACACAAACTTCCGTAGAGATGGCTTGAAAATCTTATTCATCAAAGCTTGAACGTTGCAGGTTCTTTTGTAAGCCCAAAGGGCATAACCAAGAACTCATAATTCCCCTCTATGGTACGAAATGCAGTCCTTGGAATGTCGCTTTCAAGCATCCGTAGTTGATGGTAACCTGAATGTAGATCTAATTTACTGAAGACAGAAGCTCTATGTAGCTCATCAAGCATAGACATGAATAGGGTACTTGTCTGCTACCGTTTCTCTGTTAAGTGCACGGTAATCCACACAAAACCTATAACTTCCATCCTTCTTCTTTACTAATAGTACAGGAGTGGAGAAAGGACTTGTGCTTGGGTGTATTATACCAGACTTAAGCATGTCACTGAACATATGTTCCATGACCATCTTGCTAGCATGTGGATACCTATAAGGCCGTACTGAAACTGCAAAGACACCAGGGCGTAGTATAATAGCGTGTTCCTGGCCCCGAAGCGGTGGTAAGGTTGTAGGTACTGCAAAGATGTCCGCAAAGTCTGTTAATAACCCTGAGAGTTTTGTTGAACTATCTGGAAGAATAGAAGTGACTATAGAGCTAGTAAAGAGCTCTTCTCTTCCTACTTTACTAACTGTATAGACTGGAGACAGTAGCTTGAAAGAAAATTTGTTACAATGCAGGGACTTATCACCAAGTAATGTAACTATGTTTCCTTCGTAGACAAAGGAGAGGATCTACTCCTTCCAATCCACCTCACATCTTCCTAACGTTTCAACCCACTGAATTCCAAGTATAACATCCACGTTTCCCAGTGCCAAAGAGATGAAGTCAGTGGTGAAGTTGGTAGTATTGATTTGGAAGTCAACTGCTTGTCAAATTTCCAAAGCCGAAACCGACACTCCATTACCCAACATCACCGCCAAGCTACTATCAGCATAAATTTTCAGGTGTAGCTTGTCCACAACTTTGGGTGAGATGAAGTTGTGGGATGCTCCACTCTTAGGCATAATGACCACCTCCTTGTTATGAATAATGCCTCGAAGTTTTGTTGTTCCTAGAGAACTTACTCCGAGGAATGAGTTAATGATAAAGTATATAGCTCTTGAACTTGTTGTACTTGTTCTTCTTCAGTCTCGTTGGGATCCAGCACTTTCACAACTAACCCATTAATGACCATTAATACTCGCAAATCTCTGTTAGGACACTCCAAACGATGAGTCGGTGTCCATGGTGCTTTGCACTTGAAGCATACTTTATCTTTTCGCATCTTGTCTAATTCTGCATCAGAGAATTGTTGTCGTGGTCTCAAAGCAAGACCCTGTTGACCCCCATTCTCTTTACAACTAGCATTGGTCACAAGCTGTTTCTCTACTCTTGACTTTGTGGTATGGTTGTTGTAACTACTGCGTTGATAACCTCCACCTGAAGCTGTGCTGATGACTTTACAAACCGTTGTGCTCTGCCTTTTTAACACTGCCAGCTTATGATTTGTTAACCCCATTGAATCTTTCATCCTTATGACTTCCTTCATTTCAGGTTTTAACCCATTGTAAAACACCTTGATCAAATTTCTTTCATCCACGCCAGTAACCTGGTTCCTCAAGGCTTCAAACTCATTAACATAATCCACAATATCCCCTTCTTGTTATAAACAAAATAATCGTGCAGCTGGATCATTGTCTATAGGACCAGCAAACCATTCCAACATCCTCTCTGTGAACTGTTGCCAACTCTGAAACAGCTCAGTACTCATCTCACCATTGAATCAATTCAACACCGGTCCTTCCAAACAAAACGAGACAATGTGTAACTTCTCCTCTTCATTGTAGTTCCCGAGTTTGAAGAAACGCTCAGCCCTGGAAATCCAATCAAACGGCAAGGGACCAGCAAAAACAAGCATATCTATCTTCTTTAACATCTTATCCCGATTCGCTAAAGTATGTTGAATTCCCCGATAGCCTAACTGAAATTCTTTCGGTATCTGAGAATCAATAGATACCTGAGATGGTGGCTGCAAAGAAGCTGATGCTACCTCCTTCCCTGGGCTCTGATTGAACACGGAGTTAGCTTCGATTCGCGCCAAAACCGTCGAAATTGACGACATCTGACTCTCCAAAGCTCCCAACCTCGCATTAGACTCAGAACCGATCGTCGCTATCTGCTTCTCCAAAGAACCAAGTCGCTCTCCTGTTGCTTTCTCCAATCGAGAGGTCTTATCACAACCGATTCTCATATACTCAATTTCATATTCCAATCTTCGTAACGTCGTATAGCTCGGTACTGCTGAACTTGGCATAACCTCCAAATCATCTCCCGATCTCGAATCCGCCATACTCGATCTTTGCGTTTGTAAGTACAACTCATGAATCAGTCTCATAGCAATCAATCACTCATCATCGTTCTCATGAAAAACGTGAAGCAGAGACTCATGTTGTCTTCCACTTTCAACAATACAAACATGAAACGTTCAAAAGAATAACAAGTCCTTATGTAAACGTTGTAACGGCAAAGCCTCTAAATGAAGTCGAAGTTTTCCCTTCCTTTTTTCTTTATTCAAATTCTTCAAAGCCTCTTCTTGAAACCAAAGCTTCTTTTCTTCTTTTGTTTGAATTAAACTTCCGCGGGAAAATCCACCACTTCACCATCTTCTTTCCCACTCTTAGCCTTTCTCTTCCGATAATACACCCTCTTGTATCTATCAGAATGTTAGCAATAAAGTGACAAAAAAAATCTGTAGATCTTCTTCAAGTCTAATCAATTTGATTGCATCATCAATATGTAATTTCCCACAGTAGATTCCAAGAGCGATTACTACAGAGTGAGCTGATGCTTCGAGCGCATCAATGCTAGCGAGTTCACCATCATTAGTCTTCTTAAGCATATTTTCTACTGCTTTCACTAGCTTATCATCTTTATTTCCTCCAAAGATGCTCGACTACACTTTAGGTTTAATCCCAAACTCTGATTTCACCCACTCAAGTAAAGGATCAATCCGGTCTACCTGAACCTCTGCAAAAGGCACAACCCACTTAAGTTTAGAAGCTCGAAGTTGGTTGGGAGTTGAAGGGAAAGTGTATACCGTGGACGTCACTAGTTAGATCACTTTCTTCAGGTGCTCGGAAAAAGACGAGATCTTGATGTAACATTCTCAACATATGTTCGATGATCTTTGGGCGTGTAAGAAGAACTCTTTCAAGTGCAGTACATACTAGTTTCATGAGCGGCATTGTGAATGGTTTGATTCCTTCTGTTAGATACACAGGATCATTGCATTGTTACCAAGTTAGTCATCGCACGACAAAAGAAAACGAGCAGAGAAAGGCCAAGTGTCTCATGAACCAACTTCACTTCCACTATTCACATATAGAACACATATAGCTTAAACAAGAAGCTGATCTCAAACATTAGAGACTCCAAAGTAAAATATATTAAGATGCTCATACGAATTATCAGCTATGTCTTATCAACCCCACTATTGATCAAACACGGGGGGACTCTAAAGGTCTCAGCTTTACGTTGAATGAAAAATGAACAGATCCAATTACAAGAAAGAAACTTGATACTCCCATTCAGCAGCAATGGCTTTAGCGAGTGGCAAAGAAGGAAGCTTGAGAGGTCTTTTAGAAGGAGTTTTAAGAGTTCTGTAATCGAGCATCACAGTCCATCCATTCCCGTCGTTTTCTTCTCTCGTCGTCATCTTCTTGTAGAATCTCTTCCCCACTATCGAACCCGTCAAGAATGACGTCGGCATCGTCACCGAGTCCGAGTCCTTGTTCTGGCGTGCATTCGGAGCTTTCACAAGAATGGGTTTCTCGTCAAAAATGAAGGAAGAAGATTCCGATGAGTGACCATCGGAATTGGGTTGACGAGCAGCAGATGTTGTACAGAGTGAACGAGCACGAACGAAAAAGTGAGAGTTTTTAGATGGATTGAAAGCTCTTCTGATTAACATCGCCGCCATTGAACCTCCCTCTCCGGTGGTTTTGACCCGATGAAAAATGAACTCTCTCTCACCTCTTGACTGGGTTCAGATCAGAAATGTAGATGGAACCCCTAAATGGTGTCGCATCGCTTCATCTGTGGTGAGAAACCTGCAAATCAGACCAAACCAAGTCAACCAAAATGCTACTACCCTAACCAAACCTAAAATTTGTTAACAACCCGATTGTTTATAATATTCTAAAATCAGAAAAGCTCTACTGAAACCAAATCAGATCTGATATTATTGCAACCATACCAAACTAAATAAATTGAAATTCACAAAAAAAAAAAGCTACCATGGTTAAATTCGTTAAACTTCTTTATATCTCTTCATGTTCATCACTATTTAAGAAATTAAATTTAGAAAAATGAAGATCACATATATCAGGATACCATTTTAGTTAGACAATACTGAAATTGAATTACTTTTTTGAGTTTAATATTTGAAGAATTATGTTTACTGAGCTTTAGCTTTCAAAATTGATCATCAAATAGCTGCTGGAACTTGGAACATGTGGAGTTGCTGAGAAAAAGAAAAAAATATATGTGTTAGACTAAAATGTTAGAGCATCTCCAATAGTGATACCCCATTGGAGTCCTTAGAAAAAGTGTTTTTTGATTTTTTAATTATCATTTTTTCAGATTTAAAAAAAAAAATACCAACCAATCGCGGGCGGCAATGTGTCGTGGGGAACCGCAAATAGTGCAAGGATTCACTAAGAAAGAGTCATTATTTAGAAATTTTTAAGGATTAATCCTTAACTTTTTGTGGGGTTTACTGATTATTTAATTATTTTTTTCGTAAGTATTTCACTTAAGAATTTTCATTGTGGATGCTCTTAGAGCATCATTAGTGGACAGAAAATCCAATAGTCTCTTAAACAAAAAGTTTAATGTTATTTTAATTAGTTATATTTTATTTTTCTTAATTTAATTTAACTAGTTAGAAAGTGACATTTGTAAGAGAAATCTCTTCCCACTTCCCTGAAATACATCCACAAGTTGACGTCTCTTCCCTCTCTCATCTATATTTTGCTTCTCTTTCTTACTTTTTAGCTTTTTGTAATATTAAATTGTTCACATACCCATCATTAAACCCTAGTAAAGCAAACAATACGGTGTGGACAGGTCATGTCTGTATCTTTTCACGCCTCAAGCAAAAATATAATATGTCCTTTGCAAAGATCAAGACTCAAACCCACTCCCTCTTGGAAAGCAATTTTTTTTTTTTACAACGAAAGGCTGATCTATTACTCAAGCTTGAAGTGGTCTGGGAATCCAGACCCGGAATAAAACAACCAACATACATGAGATCACGATAAAAGGATCGGGCAGACTTAGCTAAATGATCGGACACAGCATTTAAAGATCTAGGTACATAAGTGATCTTGAAGTCTGGGAAAAAAATCCTCAGCGTCGAGATCCTCTCCAGTTCCGTCGAAAAGCTTGGCCATCCATGGGGATCCGTGAGCATTGCTAACAATTCCTTGCAGTCCGTCCCAAAGCTCTGACATGGCGAATGTTGAAGCATGTTCTCTTGCCCACCGCAGTGCTTCCAGCTCAGAATGCAAAGCCGACTCCACTCTACTCACATTACGCATCCCCATCAGCTGACTATTTCCCATGCTATCCTTCCAATCCCAACCACAACCGGAGAATTGATCTATAGAGGTCCAAGAACCGTCTATCATGCAAATATCTCGTAGACTTATGGCCTGACATTCAGTATCGCCGTTCTCTTGTGTAATCACAACTTCCTGCTCATTAGCTTGGAACCAGGCAAGACACTCACTCTCTGCATACCGGGCCAGTTCCAGAGGGTCTCTATCTATTCCTCTGAACAACTTATCATTCTAAGCCTTCCAAATGTACCATATTAACCAAGGATAAGGATCCCTGTCTAATTCTGGCCCACAAATGGCCTTCTTCCGCCAGAATAGATAATCCATATTCGCATATGTGCTCTCCAAAGGGAACAAAGTTGAGCTGGTGGGTATATATGCTAAGGCCCATACCTGTAAAGCCGGTGGACATTGAAAAATTGCATGTGCAATTGTTTCATCCGGTTCTCCGTATCGTGGGCAGAAATTATCGCATCTCATGTGTCTATGATTCAGCGCACTCGTAATAGCCACCTGCCCCGATATAATCTGCCACATAAGATGGCACATCTTCGGGGGTGCTTTAAACTTCCAGACCTGTGCTTGGGGCCTTTTGATGCTAGGTTCATCTACCAGATTCTCTTCCTCCTTCATTAGTATATTTCGAGCTACCCAATAGCCGGACTTGACAGTGTACTGCCCACTTCTTGTGTAACTCCAGCAGTGTGTGTCTCTGCGATGGGTTGAACTAATTTCCATACTCCTTATGAGAGGTATATCAGCAGTGTCAACATAATTTGTCAGCCGATCTAGATCCCAAGACTTTGTTTCTTGATTGATAAGATCACTCACTCTCATGTTCGGATGTAGAACCGGAACAGATGCATGCGATGGTCTCGCTGGGATTGTGGGAATCCATCGGTCCTCCCATACCTTTACTTCATAACCTGAATGAATTTTCTGTCTAACCCCCAATAGCAACAATTTGTGTGCAGCCGAGATGCTTGTCCACACATATGATGGGCTGCTGACAATGAGCTTTCGCAAAGGCGAACTTAGTCGATAATACCACCCTCTCATAACTCGAGCTACCAAGGAATCTAGATTTTGGGCCAATCTCCACAACTGCTTTGCTAGTAACTGCCATGTTAAACTCATGGATCATCCTGAAGCCAATTCCTCCTTCTCTTTAGATAGACATAACTTGTCCCATGTTGTCCAGTGTAAGCCTCTCTTTGGTGGGTTTGAACTCCACCAAAACTGTGCAATGGCACTAGCAAAGGCATCACATATCTCCAATGGGAGCAAAAAACAAGACATAACATAGGTTGGGAGAGCTAACAGAATTGATTTTATCATTACTTCCTTTCCACCTTTAGATAACCACCTGCCAGTCCATCCATTCACTCTATTCCGAAGTTTGTCTTTTAAGAAGGCACACAGCTTACATTTTGAGCCACTGATATCCTCTGGTATCCCTAGGTAAGTTCCCATTCCTACTTCACTATTGGATCCCAAGTGTATCTTTGATCTCCTGTCTGGCCTCTTGACCGATCCTCTTACCAAAGAGTAAAGAAGACTTGTCAAAATTAATGCATTTTCCAGAGGCTTGTCCATATTTCCTAACCGCTTTCATTACTTCTTCACATTCACGGGGCTCCGCCTTACAAAAGAAAAGGCTATCATCAGCAAAGAGTAGGTGGAATACCGACAGACACGCACGCGTGATGCGCATCCCCGTTATCCTTCCCTGATTCTCTGCGTGATTAATAAGGCTAACGAGCGCTTCCGTGAATAGAATAAAAATGAAAGGGGACAAAGGATCTCCTTGACGTAGACCTCTCTCCGGGACAATATTCCCTCTTGGCTGTCCATTCATAAGTACTTTGTACTTTACTGTTGTTACACATCGCATAATCCAGGTAATCCAGACTTCTGAGAATCTCATCTTCCTCATGGTGGCTTCAATGAAAGACCATTCCATACGATCATATGCCTTACTCATGTTTGTTTTGATGGCCATCCTCCTATTGCGCCCACTTGGTTTTGTTCTTAAGGCATGGAACAATTCCTGGGCTATCATTATGTTGTCTGATATCTGTCTCCCAGCAACAAAGGCTGACTGGGTTTCAGAAATCGTATCTGGAAGGACCTTTTTTAATCTTTGGCATAAGACCTTGGAGATAATCTTGTAGAAAACGTTACAAAGACTAATGGGTCGTAGTTGACTCATCTGGTTTGGCTTGTCAACTTTTGGGATAAGGCATATATTAGTATCATTGAGACCAGTCGGAATAGTCCCTTGAAATAGGAATTCATTAACCATATGAGTTAAATCATCCTTAACGATATCCCAAAAAATTTCATAGAACAAAGCTGTCATTCCGTCAGGTCCATGAGTTTTCTCAAGATGCATAGCAAAGAGAGCTAATTTAACTTCCCACTCTGAAACCGGAGCTGTGAGACCCTCGTTGTCTGCAGGCGTAATTGTAGTGGTAACTTCTAAAAGTGCCTCCTCAATCTCCTCAGGGTTCGATGATTGGAAGATTTGGCGAAAATAACAAGTAGCAATGGCTACCAGGCCTTCCTCATCCTCCACAACATTCCCATCTGCATCTAATAGTTGGGTTATTCTATTCCTCGCTCTTCGCTGCTTCGTTAAAGCATGGAAGAATTTAGTGTTTCAATCTTCCTCCCTTAACCAGAATACCCTACACTTCTTCTTCCAGAATAATTCCTCCGCCTTAAGGGCATCAGACAATTCTTTTAGAGCTGCCGCTATCTCCTCTATAGTGGCATCATCATTGGAGGATAATCGATCCACCTTTTCCTTTAACTCTTCTACACTTTTCTCTGAATTCAGATTGTGTTGCCTTTTCCAATCACATAACGCTCGCCTGCAGCTTGTAATATGCTCCATAATACTTGCACCCGGTGGTAGATCTGGTGATTTCCATCGTTCAAGTATAATCTGTCTGAGTTCCTCATTCTGAAGCCATCGCTTATCAAATTTAAAGTTTTCGATCTCCGTGGCTTCTTTATAAGAATGTCTGCCAGGATTGGACGATGATCCGAACCCCAAAGTCTCAGATACTGCACTTTAGAATGAGGACTCATGCCAGTTCTCATTACCCACAGCCCTATCAAGTCGACATCTAACAGTAGCATTTCCTGCTCTTCTTCCTACCCATGAAAGCATGTTTCATGTGAAAGAAAAATCCAGCATACCACAATCACTGAGCATCTGCTTGAAAGGCAAGAAAGAGCTATATGTGCATTGTCTGCCTCCTTCCTTCTCTTCATGATAAGTAATTTCATTAAAATCACCAATCATAAACCAAGGTCCATTTCTTGTTGTTGAGAAACGCGTAAGACGTTC